TTAAGACACAATTCTTGTGTCCTTGTGAATCCAAACAAAGCATAGGCCAATGGGAAGTAGGAATCATGCCATATAGGGAATTAAAACAATATGCACGTCAATTCCAATTATAAACCATGCAGTGCAATAAAATGCAATGCATACTAATGTCACTCCCCATTTTCATTCACAAAACCATCACTTTCAAATGTTAATACAGCCCGCCCTTTGGTAACCCCGCGCGACACGAGAGGAGGATTGGCTATCGTCCCTAGACCTTTGGTAACCCCGCAGCGTCATCAAGGGGCCCGAATAGCTCAACCACGCTAGGGCGACTCCCTAGTCCCCTCTAGGCTATATTGACCTCCAGCCCGTTGGTAACCCCGCAACGACCGGGTTTATCAAAACTATTTGATAAAACTCTTCTCCCAAAATTTCCCCCATTTGCATTTCAAGACAAATTCTCCCATTTCATGCATCCCAATGACATGTGCATGGATGTACATATAATCTCAATATTATGACAATGGGAAATTTGGTACAATCTAAATAAACATGTTCTCATTTGTCATTTTTAGCATGTTAACACATAGTGGGCATGATAAAGCAACATCTAAACATATTTTGCATATGAAACAAGTCATAATCAAGCTCTTGAAAATTCTCTAGACATCATTCACACAATCATAGATACAATTAACTCCCAATTAAACATGTTTGACACAACAAGGACGTGTAATTCACAATAGAACAAGAAAGGAGTGGATTAAGATGCCCCTACCTCAAAATGAGCAAAATCCCTAGAAATGGATTCTTAAATTCGAGCTCCCAAAGAGGACCAAAAGTTGAAATTTCTGGTACTAGCACGTAGAGCTCGTCGTGCTCGTCGTTTTGCCTCAAACGGCTCTCAAATCTACCAAGGATTGAGAGAGCAATCAAGATTTGAAGTTATAAAAGAAAAAAAGAAAAAAGAAAATAAAGAGGAACAGAGAGGCTGCAGGAGAGAAGAAAACAGAGAACAAGAAAAAATGAAAAAAAAAAAAAAAAATGTGGTCTTATGACCACTTTACAAAAGCTTTGGGTCCCACCTTTTTTTTTTTTTCTCTTTTTCTTTATAACTTACAGACATTACATTCTCCCCAACTTTAAAAAATTTCGTCCCTGAAATCTAGACATACCTGGAGAAGAAAACAACTCTGGATACTTGGAGCGAACCTCCTGTTCGAGCTCCCAAGTAGCCTCCTCGACTCCGTGGTGTCTCCAAATGACTTTCACCATTGGTATCGTCTTGTTCCTCAACACCTTTTGTTGTGTGTCAAGAATTTGAACTAGTCCTTCCTCATAGGAAACATCCTCATCAATGTCTACATCAACCCAACTCAAAATGTGAGATAGATCTGGCTCGTACTTCCATAACATCGATACATGGAAAACATTGTGAACCCTATTCAACTGTGGTGGCAAAGCAAGTCTGTAGGCAACCTCTCCTACACGGTCCAAAATCTCAAATGGTCCAATGAATCGTGGCGACAACTTACCACTTTTCCCGAATCTCATCAATCCTCAATCCCTTCCGTGAAGAAACCCGAAGAAAAACGTGGTCTTCCACCTCAAAGGATAACGACCGTCTCCGCTTATCCGTATAACTCTTCTGTCGGCTCTAAGCTGTAAGTAACCTCTGTCTTATCAACTTAATCTTCTCAGTAGTCTCGAGTACAATGTCAGGTCCTAAGGAGGCTGTCTCGCCTACCTCAGTCCAACAAACAGGAGACCTACAAGGTCTACCATACAACACCTCAAATGGAGCCATCTGAATGCTCGCCTGATAACTGTTATTGTAGGCAAATTCAATAAGTGGAAGGTGATCCTCCCAACTATCACCCAAGTCAAGCACACATGCCCAGAGCATATCCTCCAAAATCTGGATAGTACGCTCTGACTGACCATCAGTCTGTGGATGGAATGCCGTACTTAGATGCAACGCTGAGCCAAACGCTGCTTGAAGTCCTTCTCAGAACTTCGAAGTGAACTTAGCATCCCTATCTGACGTAATGGTTACTGGAACTCCATGTAACCTTACAATCTCATTCACATAAAGAACATCAAGCTTCTCTGCATCATCTGTTGCCTTAATAGGCAAAAAGTGAGCCGTTTTGGTCAATCTGTCAATGATGACCCATACGGACTCATTGCCCCTTCGTGACCTTGGAAGACCTGTCACAAAATCCATAGCAATATGCTCTTATTTCCACTGCGCTACAGGCAATGGTTGCAATAAACCAGCTGGTTTTTGATGCTCAGTCTTCACCTGCTGACAGGTGAGGCATCTAGCCACAAACTGTGCAACATCTTTCTTCATCCCGTTTCACCAATACTGACGTCTCAAATTATGAAACATCTTGGTACCACCTCGATGAACTGCAAAATGGGAAGTGTGAAACTCCCGTAAGACGTCCTCACGACAAACCGTAGGAACCACCAACAAACCCCTGAACCGTAGACCCCCATCTGCATACAAGGCCCAATCTTTCACTGTCTCACCACTAGAGATCAAAGCATGAATGGCATCTAAATCTGGGTTCTGTCTCTGTGACTCATTCACTCGTACAACAAGAGTAGGAGGAGCCACAAGACTAAACAAGAATGCCAGCTCGCTGTCAACATCGTCATCAAAACAATACAATTCCATCTCTGCCAAATCCTTAAGCATCTTCCACTTCCGAATAGCCAGACAGGCCAAAGTTCCACGAGATTTTCGGCTCAAGGCATCTGCTACCACATTTGCCTTGCCCGGATGATACTGCAAGTCAAAATTATAATCTTCCAAGAATTCAACCCATCTTCTCTGTCTATTGTTCAAGTCCTTTTGGGAGAAAAGGTACTTGAGACTTTTATAATCCGAGTACACCTCGAATCTCTCACCATACAAGTAGTGTCTCCAATACTTCAAAGCAAACACAACTGCCGCCAACTCCAAATCATGAGTAGGGTAGTTGTACTCATGAGTCTTCAACTGTCGAGACCCATAAGCCACTACTCTACCATTCTGCATCAACACACACCCTAAACCATCACGTGAAGCATCACAATAGATCACATAACCCAAGCCACGCTCAGGTATCACCAACACTGGAGCCATAGTTAATCATATCTTCAATTCCTGGAAAGATAACTCACAGGCTTCATTCCATGCAAACTTAATCCCTTTCCGGGTTTTTCGGGTCATAGACGCTGCTAAACGGAAGAAATCTTTCACAAATCTCCGGTCGTAACCCGCTAGACCAAGAAAACTACGGATCTCAAACATATTCTTGGGTTGCTCCCAATTCAAAGCAGCTTCAACCTTTGATGGATCAACTGACACTCCGCCTTCTGAAACAACATGTCCCAAAAACTTCACCTCTTGTAGCCAAAATTCACATTTCTCATATTTGGCATACAACCGGTGCTCCCGTAAAATTTGTAAAACAATACTTAAATGGATCTCGTGCTCCTCCCGAGATTGTGAATACACAAGAATGTCATCCACGAAAACTACCACAAACTGGTCCAAGTAATCGTGAAAGACGCGGTTCATTAAGTCCATGAATGCCGCTGGAGCATTAGTCAAGCTAAAAGGTATAACAAGGAACTCATAGTGTCCATACCGTGTACGGAATACTATCTTCAGGATATCCTCATCCCTAACCCGCAACTAATAATAGCCAGACCTCAAGTCAATCTTGGAGAAACAACTGGCTCCCCTCAACTGATCAAATAAATCATCTATCCTTGGCAAAGGATACTTGTTCTTGATGGTGGCACGATTCAACTTCCGATAATCGATGCACAACCTCAAAGAACCATCTTTCTTCTTAGTAAACAAGACCGGTACGCCCCATGATGACACACTCGGTCAGATGAAACTTTTCATCCTCAAATCATCAATCTGTCTTTTTAATTCCTCCAATTCAACTGGTGCCATACGATACGGTGCCATAGAAATCAGCGCGGTACCTGGCATTAACTCAATAGAGAACTCCACTTCTCAGTGTGGAGGCAACTCTATCAAATCCTCCGGAAACACATCCAAAAAATCACGAACAACTGCAGGATAATATTCTTCCACAACATCATCCTCTTCAGCTATAAGGCTAGCCAAAAAGTAATCACCACGACTCTGTCCATGAATTCCATAAAACGATGAAATGTGGGAATCACTCCGATCTCCCACGAAAAAGAAACAGTCTCCCTCGGGAGTACAAACTGTAACCCTTCCTCTGAAACAGTCGATCGTGGCATGAAAGGAAGCTAACCAATCCATCCCGAGAATGACATTAAAGCTAGTCATCTCCAGGAGGATAAGGTCAAACACAAAAGTCCACCCGGCTATCACAATGGAACAGTCCGTCACGACTCGGCTCAAAGACACTGAAACTCCAACTGATGTATCAACACACAACTCCCGATCCATAAAACTGACCTCTAACCACGATGCAAGTGCAAATGATGATGAAATGAAAGAATGAGATACACCAGAATCAAAAAAAACACGGGCCCAAGAACCAAACATTGGAAATATACCTCGGAAAATTGAAGATCCAGGAGATGTATCAGTCGGTGCAAGAGCAAAGACGCCTCTGCGGTGCCTGTACCTGTGAACTACTAATCTGAACACCAGACTGTTGTGCTGACACAGTAGGAGTATCCCTCCTAGCTGGTCGTGAACCCTAAGAAGATAAGGCAGGCTGTGGTGGTGGCAGTGGTCTGAAACCTGATTGAACTGTAGCCGACTGTGACGGCCTCTACCGTGACCCTCTGCCACTAGTAGTGCCTGCTCCCTGACTCGGATAGTCCCGAAGCAAATGGCCCTGCTGGCTACACCCATAACAAGCCTTTGGAGCTGAAGAAACTGAAGTCAATCTCATAGGACAACTGGACTTGTAATGCCCAGGCTGCTGACATTGATAACAAACAACTCCACCCTTGTCAGATCCAACTGGCATAGGAATGGTAGGAACAGATCGTGCAGATTGTTGCCCCTAAAACTGAAATGAACCACCCTTGTTCTTCTTCCAAGAAGATCCTTCTGAGGATGGCCCTGCACCCCTCTTCTGCTTCCACTGCTCCCTTCTCGCATCCTTATCTCTATTATCCGCTTCTAACATTAAAGCCCTCTCCACTGCTTCAGAATATACCTTGATGAACTGTGTCGTGATCAACGGCCTCATCCGATCATTAAGACTAGAAACAAACTTCCGAGTCTTGTTAACTTCATCTCTCACCATTTCTGGAGCAAAGTGAGAAAGTGAAGTGAACTTGTTTTCATATTCTGCCACTGACATGCTCCCTTGGATAAGGTTATGAAACTGGTCTTGTAACTCCCATCTTTTGGAAAGCGGAAAGTACTTTTCATAAAACAATTCCTTAAACTTGTCCCAACTCATCTCCTCCACCTTGTACCGACTCGTAACCGACTTCCACCATAATTTGGTATCCTTAGCAAACTTATAAATAGCTATGATAATCTTCAAATGATCCTCCGTCACATCCATTGAAATCAATTGAGTTTCAACTTGCTCCATGTAGTCATCTGCTATCATTGGATCTGCACCGCCCTCAAACATAACCGGCATCAGCTGAGAAAACCCTTTAATAATCTTGAGACGTTTTTGAGCTGGCGTCACCTCAACTTGAACTGTAGGTTGTAGTGCTGACTGTGACTGAGCAACAATCGTTGCCCTCACGACATTTTGCAACAAACGATTCAACTCCAGTGCCACAGAACCTTCACCCACTTCTACGGGTGCTTCACCATTATCCCTCCTTGTGGGGACAACTCTCGAGGGAATCATGTCCCTAAGAAGTGTGTCCGCATCATTTAGCTCCTCCGGATTAGAGTTGGAGCTCTCGCCAACATCACCCCTAGTCGGTCTAGGGCCAACTTCCCTGATTTCCTCACGCCGTGACATCGTTCTATAAAACAAAGGAAACAATTCAATAACGATAACACTAAGGTCCAACCGTGAACAACCCAACGTGAAAAGATATTGTACAAACATTTAGCATGTAATATTATGCAATGAACACATTAATATAGGCATATAAGCACATAAGCACATAAGCACGTAAGCAAGTAAGCAGTTAAGCACGCTTTTTCAAATAGCAAAACACTTTTCCAAACAAGGAAATAACAATGCAAATAACTTCCCAGATAACCCTAGGTAAGCCTCTACCCATCGTCCTAATGGTATTCGAACCATCACTCTGATACCAAATTTGTAACGACGCTAGCTGATGCCAAAATTTAAAAAAAAATCGGCATAACCTCCCCTAAAAATGGGCCTTCAATAACCTGTCCCAATACACAAAACATATAAAATCATCCAGCATCCCATTCATCCGTTCATTATACCTCAACATAGTTCCTCTCATAGTGGAACATCCACACACCAATTAATCTAAATTAACATAATTACAGTCCCAAAATACATGGTTAAGATTTAAAGTCCCTGTCTTACAACGTTACATGATACAATTGCATGGAAACATATACCATAATTCCATTAGTTTCATTTACATCAAACAAAAGATAAGTTCGTTCTTAAGTTACAAGGCCATGAATACTAACTTAGTTACATCTCCACAACTATGAATATACATAACATGGTTAAAATACAAAATAGCAAACAACCTTCTACCAACTTTCAAGCTTGAGGTGGATTGTCGTCCACCGGTTCATTTCCAAGACCTGAAAAAAATAATATAAGTAGTAGGGTGAGCATAAAGCTCAGTAAGTGACACTTAAGACACAATTCTTGTGTCCTTGTGAATCCAAACAAAGCATAGGCCAATGGGAAATAGGGATCATGCAATATAAGGAATTAAAACAATATGCACGTCAATTCCAATTATAAACCATGCAGTGCAACGAAATGCAATGCATGCTAATGTCACTCCCCATTTTCATTCACAAAACCATCACTTTCAAATGTTAATACAGCCCGCCCTTTGGTAACCCCGCCGAGACACGAGAGGAGGATTGGCTATCGTCCCTAGACCTTTGGTAACCTCACAGCGTCATCGAGGGGCCCGAATAGCTCAACCACGCTAGGGCGACTCCCTAGTCCCCTCTAGGCTATATTAACCTCCGGCCCGTTGGTAACCCCGCAACGACCAGGTTTATCAAAACTATTTGACAAAACTCTTCTCCCAAAATTTCCCCCATTTTCATTTCAAGACAAATTCTCCTATTTCATGCATCCCAATGACATGTGCATGGATGTACATATAATCTCAATATTATGACAATGGGAAATTTGGCACAATCAAAATAAACATGTTCTCATTTGTCATTTTCAGCATGTTAACACATAATGGGCATGATAAAGCAACGTCTAAACATATTTTACACATGAAACAAGTCATAATCAAGCTCTTGAAAATTCTCTAGACATCATTCATACAATCATATATACAATTAACTCCCGATTAAACATGTTTGATACAACAAGGAGGTGTAATTCACAATAGAACAAGAAATGAGTGGATTAAGATGCCCCTACCTCAAAATGAGCAAAATCCCTAGAAATGGGTTCTTAAATTCGAGCTCCCAAAGAGGACCAAAAGCTGCAATTTCTGGTACTAGCGCGTAGAGCTCGTCGTGCTCGTCGTTTTGCCTCAAACGGCTCTCAAATCTACCAAGGATTGAGAGAGCAATTAAGATTTGAAGTTGTAAAAGAAAATAAAGAGGAATAGAGAGGCTGCAGGAGAGAAGAAAACAGAGAACAAGAAAAAATGAAAAAATAAAAAAAATAAAAAATAAAAAATAAAAACATGGTCTTATGACCACTTTACAAAAGCTGTGGGTCCCACCCTTTTTTTTTTTCTTCTCTTTTTCTTTATAACTTACAGACATTACACATAATTAGGATAACAATAAACTATGTTTACCTGGTGCAATATATCCATATGTTCCCACAAGTGAACTCCAAATCGGCGAGTCTGACTTCAGAAGTTTAGCAGTGCCAAAGTCTGAAACATGAGCCTCGTAATCTTTAATGGTTATGATATATATATATATATATATATATATAAATTAAAAATTAAAAATTAAAAATTAAAAAGAAAAAGAAAAAGAAAAAAAGGTTAGATTTTTTGTGGTGGGACCCACCACCACTTATCTTCATTTTGTGGCCAAAAGGCCATTAGATGGTCTCACTTCTTTCTCTCCCTTAAAGCTCTCTCTCTACCTCTCATTCTCTTTTTTCTTTTTCTCTACACTTCAATTTCAAATCTTAATTACTCTCTCATCTTTTGGAATTTATAGGAGCTATTTGCGGCAAAACCAAGAGCACGTCGAGATCTACGGTTTGATCTGAGTAATTCTTCGTTTGGTACACTGTGGAATTTCAAAATCTAGGGTACAATATTGGAGGGTTTTGCAATTCTTGAGTAGTGGTTTTTAATTCACATTTTCTTAGATTTTAGTGAATTATCTTCCATTAAGTGTTATAAAGCATGCCTAAATTTGTGAATTCTTACAAAGGTGATTTAATTGTTATACACGTGATATGTGGTTATGTGTTAATTGTTGCTCGAGGAAAAAGCATGCTTAAATGATGTATATGAGAAATGTGATCATATGTTAGTTGATGTTTTGTGTATAAGCATGCCTATGCGAAATAGAATTTGTGCCTTGTATGTTTACTATGTCAAATCAATGTTGAATGAAAGTATGACTTACGTATTTTGAAATCTATTATGGAAAGCATGGGTGAAATTCATTAGTTGAATTGTGTTTAGAAGCATGAAACATTCATGCATCCATTCGGAAAGAAAGAGAAAGGGAAAAGTTTTTTTTTTTTTTTTTTTTTTTTGAGTCAAATGAAATCGTTTTGAGAAAATTGTTTTTTGAAAAGTGTTTATGAAAACCAGACGCCTAGGAGGCGCCTAGTGGTCCGCGGTATTAGGGGTGCCTTATGGTCGTGGATAGCTAACCAACCCTCTCTTCATGACGCTTCGGAGGTGTCTTGGGTCGGATTGCACTAACGGTTTGGAAGTTGAAATGGTAATGTTTCAGAAATGGGTAACGACGTGAGCATGGCATTGTACTTCATCGGCATATATAGTATATTTGTGACTTGGTTGACATTTGTGGTTATATTGGACGTTGTGGTTATGGATTATATCCTCGGTATAGTATGATCCCATTCTCTTGATTTATATTCTATATGTGGATTCACGGGGTTATAAGAGGTGTGTCTTAGGCACCACCTACTGAGTTGTAACGACCCGAACCCGTAGGTCCGAACCGTTAGCCGGGTCCTTAACCGAACCCGAGGTCAACTAGAGACAACACCATTCTTTCCTACGTTAATACATATTATACGTGTCATTCCGGATTTATAAAAAAATAAGTAATAATAAATAAATAATAAAATGAGATTATAGCTACAAAGTATGTCAAAACGGTCTACTAACCCATCAAACCCTGTTGAGGAGCGTCGTCCGCCACTTGCCATCCTTGTCCTGAAAAATGTTAAATGTAATAGGGTAAGCAAATTACTCAGTAGGTAGCGCCTAAGACCCACCTCTTGTAACCCTATGAATCCAAACAATGAATAGGACAATAGAGAACAGGGTCATACAAAGTCGGGAAAAAATACAATATACATTTTCAAGTCCAAAACAAAATAATGTTGCGCCATGAATGCAATGTCATGCAGGTCACTCCCCATTTTCAAAAAAATTCCATCATTTCACAAACTGTTAATATAACCCGCCCTTTGGTGACTCCGCAGCGACACGAGAGAAGGATTGGCTACTGTCCCTGACCTTTGGTACCTCCGCAGCGTCATTTGGGGCCCAGATAGCTCAACCACGCTAGGGCAATCTGTAACGACCCAAATCCACTGGTCTGGATCATTAAACGGATCTTTATCCAACCCAAAATCATCAAAGGGTAATATGGTCCTTTCACGTTAAATTTGTATATTAAAACCCAACAAGGATAAAATGGTCACTTGCCACAAATCTAATAGTATGAGATTCAAAGGGCATAATGGTCATTTACTTATGTCACTTAATAAATAAGATAGAGTTCGGGGCAATATAGTCTTTTATGTGATAAAAAAATAATTATTGAATTTTATTGGGTCCTAAAATAAATACTCGTAACTTTGAATAAAAGGATAATTAGGGAAACTAAACAAAAAATGTATGGAACAGGAACCGGTCGACGTGTACGTATTACACGTCAACTGGTTTGGGTCACGCACAGTGACATTGCCCACTGCCAAGATACCGGTCGACGTGTGGGAGGCTACACGTCGACTGGTTCAGGTCATGTACAGTGAAATAGCTACTGCCATGATACTGGTCGACGTGTGGGAATTTCATGTCGATTGGTTCAGGTCATCCGGTCGACGTGTGGGAATTTTACGTCGACCAGTTCTGGGTTATCCAAACTTGAAATTTTTTTCACTGTCCGAAATACACCAACATTGATAACCAATCACCCACGCCACTACGCTCATATACACATTTAAATACATTTTAACATCTAATACATTAACAACAACAACAATATTCACATAATTTACAACACATTACATGAAATACACTAAATGATTTAGTGTAAATAAGCATAATTACATTTCCCCAATGGCCATATACAAAATGAACCTGAATATTTCACATGCTACAAAATGGTACATTTAGG